CAGGAACCCGCTCTTCTCGGGAACAATTCCTGGCAGTGCTGATGCTCCCGCTTTCAGCTGCTGCTGAGTCTGAACTAGTGACTCACACCCCCTCTTCTGAGCTCAGCTTCACAGTCACCCTCCTCCGCCTCCGAATCCTGCCTGCCGCAGACACAGTGCTGGTTCCCACTTCCTCGGCCAAGAATAAAGTCGTCGGGACATTAAGATTATGCATAAAACACAGTCAAAAAAGAGAAAGACTTGGCTGCGATTTACCCCCACATCACCCCCATTCCAGACTCCAGCATCCTGCCTCCTTGCTCACTGTAACAACTATTATTCACTGAATGGACAAATATTTACCTACTGCACCCGAGATATAGCAGTGACTTTTTGTCAACAAAAGTTCAATTCATGCCTTCCTGTAGATTGTACCATTGTGGGGCGGTGACTGTGTCCTCAAGGAAGGCTAGAGGAGCAAGGAACAGGAACCTCAATTACAAATTCAAAGGATTTTAGAAGTCTGGGGTCTAAGTTTGAATTGCTCCCAAAGCTGAAGCTAAGATAGGGATTTGCGAGCAGCTGTTTATTGAGGAAGTGATCTCAGGAAGCAGAGATGACCAAGTGAGGCAGTGACAAGGGAGTGGGGGAGCTCTAGAAAGTTCATCAGTGAGAGGGTTACACTGTGGGCTCAGGTCTGGGGGACCCTCGTACAGGCTGCCCAGAATATGAATCTAAAGTACGTAGGGCCTCCCTGGTGGTGCAGCGGTTGAGCGCTGGGTTGCGAAGCTGCCCGTGGCCTCTGCAGCGCTGGTTCGATCCCCAGCTGCTCCCCGGCCACCAGAGGAGGGTCCCGCATGGTGCACAGACCTCTCCTGCCGCCCGCTGCTCCCCTCAGCAGTGTACTCCGGTCCTTCTGCCTGCTCTGCTCCCCACTCTGGCTCTGGTGAATTCTCTCACCCTCCCGCACTTCTGACTGTACCCAGTGTTTGTATAAATAAAAATAAATAAATCTTAAAAAAAATAAATAAAGTATGTCACTGAGGAGCAAGGACTCATCCAACCAAAGAGTGAGGGTGGCTCTTAGGGCCTTAACAATCTGGCACCTCGGGCAGAGCGTGGCAGGGGCCCTGGCATGCACAGGAGCTGTCTGCAGTGACCTCTGGGGTGAGCTACCGGGGTGTGGGGGCACAGGCAGCATCTGCTACTCCCTGTAACATGCCCAGCACATAGCGGGGTTTCAAGAACATAGCGGGCACTCAATACATATTTATGTAATTAGATATTTTATCATCTGGAGATGGCTGTTAAGCTAATTCTCCTAGTAGTAGGAGAAAAGGCTTGAAACTTAGAATGGGAGAGGGTGAGTTCAAAGCCCATTAACTGTGTGGCTTTGGGAAGTCCCCTCCACTTCCTGACCTCAGGCTTTACCTTCATAAAACAAGACGAACACCTGCCTTGTCCAACTCATTGGATTGTGAGGAGTCAATGAAAGTGCTTTGGAACAAGAGGGTGTGCTAGAACTGGTTTTCTTGTGGCAAGAGCATAGAGTACAGAATGAGGTCTGAAAAGCAGATTCTTGTCCCAATGCATTCTCTGGGTCTGTAGCCTCACTTCTAAAGCACGAGAGGGTAATCGGCCACAGCCTGGCCCAGGGTGCTGTTCTGGGGCTGAAGAGACAAGATAACAGATGTAGTTATTTCTGTTCCCTTCTGAAACTCTACTAAAATGGCAATAAAGGGATGTGGGCTTTTTAAGGGATGGCAAACCCATGATGACGAAGCAACAAGAGAGGACGTGACAGCAACAAAATTTTGGAAGCTGGAATAGATGGCCAATTAGCATGTGGCTAAACTAACAGAAAAAGTTGTCACTTACCCTGAAATCTTAGTGGCACCAGACACCTCTGAAAGTGAGGGTATGGGTAGGGTGAAAGACAGGAATATTGGCTAAAAGCCTATCCCAAGTTAAGAGCTCCTAATCCCTTCTGCAGCCCTGGCAGAAACTTGGGGGTAGGACCCAGTCATCCTGTTTCCACAAACCCTCCAGATGATGGAGGAGCTCTCTGGGGATTCAGTCCATAGGAACTCCACACTTAAGGTTGTTTTTCTATGGACTGACTATTTTACAACCCTTTAAGGATAGAAACTTGGTTGTAGAAAACTGATAGTAATGCAATTTTTTCATGACCATGGAAGTGTAAATGATTCATGTACAATAGAGATCTATTGGTTTTCAGTAAAGATATCCTGCTCTAGATCATTGCCCTATAGGGGATTGACCAGTCTTACATTTGCAAGTTCATTTCAGCATAACTGATTATATGTCTGTTCAAATTTTCCTCTTAAGTGGTTTCAACAATGTCCCAGTTCCCTCATGAATGAAAAAGCTAAATACATAAAATCTTTAACACAAGTTCATTTCATATGTGTCAGCCATAATGTTACCTGTCTGCAAAGTATTCTTTAGCATAGTAATTGTCAAGGGGAAGTCACAGACCAGCCACAACACTGCCTGGGAACTTGTCGGAGATGCAGATTCTCAGATCTCACCCAGACCTGCTGACTCAGGAACTCTGGGGGCCAGGCGGGCCCAGCCATTTATGTATAAGTGCTCCTCGAGTCTGAGAAGCGCTGCCTTAACACGCCCATCAAATGCTATCAAGATGCTGCTCTAGTCCAGACTCCGGAAGCCCCAGAACCTGACATCCCAGGTGTCTTTAGCACTGTCTGCAGGGGTGAGAGCAGGCCGGGCCCTTCTCTCTTGTCTCCAGGGACACCTCAGAGACCTATCACTCGCGCCCTGTCTCTCCCTGTGGCACCAAGGGTCCTCTGTGAGCTGGACCGAATCTGAATGTCAAGATTTCCTTGAGGGAGTTCTTCTAGGGCCTATTTGCTAGTCTGAGTGTGTGGGAGCTAAATGCCCTCCCAATGCTGCAGAACTAATGGTCTCAAAGGTGCGTAACCCCAGAGAGAAGGAAAATAGCGAAAAAGGGATCTCAGAGCCCAGCCCCAAATATTCTTTATTTATTCTCTGCCTCCTGCAATAATAGAGTGTTATTTCATTGCTGGCAGATGCAAAATACAAAGCCCATTGTCCATGGAGCTGGAACACATATGGCACCCATTTGTCTTGCAGCCTGGCTGGGCACTGTGCCCTGCTAGTGAACCCCAGCCCAGTGATCGCCCCTCACCAAGGGGAAGAGCTGCCAGAGGCACTGACTTTCTGAATTCTTCAAACAGCTGATGGGGCTGGAAGGGCATTCTAGCCACACCTCAACCCTGTGGTGCCAAATACTTGCCATTGCACCCCAAGCTGCTGCTGTGAACTCGTGGGGTGTGGGACATACAGCCCAGAGGGTGTGGGGTGGGCACCCTGGGGAGGCTGTTGAGCACAGCTGAGAAATAGGAAAACTCAACAAGTTCAGGTTCAAATCCTACCTTCCCCACTCAGAAGGTCTCGAAGTTGGGCATGTTGCTTCCCCTCTTCTAGACCCTCATTCTAGAATGAGGATGATAAGAACAGCTTCTTTGAAGGGTGCTGTAGGGATGACATAAGTTGGTCATAAACCCAGTCACTCCCCAAAAAAGCGCTAGGTAAGTGTACTTGGGGCAGTAAGTGGTGGTTGATGATGAAATAGGTCCCTGAAGGTCTTCTGGAAGGAGAATAGGGCCAGAGGATGAAAAAGGGCATTAAATGTAGGCTGACCTAAGAGAGGCGAGGAAGGAAGGGCTGGTTACAGAGGGAACTCGCTGAGAAGTGGCCTCCCAGCCTATACCCCAATCCCATGGCAACTTCCCATGGCTGCTGTTGCTTTGCATGCTGACATGAGGAAGTCGCAGGGCCAATGGAAAGACCAAATAGGAACATCTAAGTGGGAGCATTTTGTCAAATGGAAAAATACTAAACAAATGGATTTTTCTTCCTTTTGTCAATTGCCGAAATCCTTGTCATGTTTGCAAAATCCTCAGAGGTGGATTCTTACCTAAAACCTAAAGGCCACGTCTTACCTAAAACCAGTGGCTCCCAACTGGGAGTGAGGGTCACAGCTGGGACACCAGCCACCAGCACCTAGTGGGTAGAGGCCCTGGGTGTTGCTGAACATCCTACCATGTACAGGAGGGCCCCCTAATAAAGAACCATGCACCCCCAAATATCATTCTGCTTAACACCTCTCTGAGCCTCAGTTTCCTATCTGTGAAATGAAACCTGAACAAGATCTCTGAGGTGCTTCTGGCTAGCACAGTCTATGCCCTTTTGATGGCCGCTGTGGCTTCACTTCACACAGACTGGCTGAGTGCCAGACAGACAAGCCTTGATCCTTTTCAGCTCTGGTCCTTGCTGCTCTCTGAGGCCTGTATCTCCTGGATGGGGTTCTTTGGGGTGGCCTCAGGAGAACAGTAGGGGATGGATTTCTCCCCCACTGTTGGAGTTCTTTGCAATGAGAACAATGAGCCTGCCCTCCTCGGCCCCTGAGGCTGAGCCAGGCTGCCCAGGAAGTATCAGGTGGGGACTCAGATTGCAGAGATACATGGCGACACAGACACCCTGCCAGCCCACAGGATCCCGGCCAAGAATAGATAATGCTTATACCAAGCACGCACCGTAATTGCTAGGTGTCTGAAATCTAACTGCTCCAGGTACAACATTACTCTGAGTTGCTAATTCCAAAGCCCTCAATAGAAGGAATCCAGGCAGCACCATTAAGTAAAAGGAGAATTGCTCCAAATCTGCTTGTCTTATCCCTGACTCTCCCTTCCCTCCAGGTCCCCGGCACCCACTGAGCCCAGGCAACAATGTCCAGGTTGCACTAGCGCTGGGGCTTCTACAGACACACAAAGGACAAGGTTCTGTAGGCCAGCTGCCCTGAATCTCAGCTGGGGAGTACCCACAGATAGCAAAGAACCTGGGTGGAAGATGCACAGTCTGGAAAGGGAATCCCAACTGTGCCAGCTTGAACAAGTGACAACCTTTGACCTCTTTGCATTTCACTTTGCTTATCTGAAAACTGGTGTCAGCAAAGTCCACCTTGCTAGAGTGTCCTGGGGATGGAACAAAACTGCATGTGAGGTCCCTGCCCTCCACTGGGCGCTCAGGAAAGGGAGCTCTTTTTATAGGGATTCCACAAACTGGGCTGGCCACTGCAGTTTCAGGCACAAAACACACCAACAGTCTGAGGAAGAAGTTCTTCTGGCACTTTATTCGAAGTGAACCAGATTCCCTTTGGATGAAGTAAGAGTCGGCTTGTTCTCTAAGAATTTTGCATTCAATTCAGATGGATGCCAAATCCATCATTTTGTGGTAAGAACCCGAACTGCAAGGAGTCAGACTCACACCAATTCAGGTTTTCAGGGCACCTGAAGCAAATCACTCACTGGCCAGGCCAGGGTGGATGGTCCTCAAGCCCAGCTTCATGTTGGCGTCTCCTGGGGAGATTTTTTTCAAGCCTCATCCTAAACCAATTTTCCCAGAATCTCTGCTGGGTGGGGTCCGGGCATCAGCAACTTTTAAGAACTTCCTGGGTGGTTCTAAAGTGAGATCCACTGAACTAGAAAATCTCCACGATGCCTCCAGGTGCCCTGGCAGGAGGAATCCTACAAGGCATGATTGAGAGTAGACACTTAGTAGTTTGTGGAATAAACTTGCCTTCTTTTTCACTCTTTCCGATACTCACCACGTCCGAGGTAAAAGAAGAAAAAGAGCTGAATTCCAAGTGAAAATCCTATAACCCGAGTGGTCTAATGGAAATTTCTTCCGATGATGGAAATGTTCTGTAATCTGTGCTGCTCAGCTGCTACTCGACTGGACAGTGCACACACAGAGCGCCCACCTGGGCACTCTCACCTGGCTAGCTGCACCTGTGCACCTCCATGACCCTCTTTTACTAACAGCACCCTGTTTTCACTCAGGGCTGTCTCCCGACCCCACCACCTGCAATCTACTGGGGGAAGTCAATGAAGTTGCCCCACACTCCTCTGTCCAAGCGGTGGGCCCAGGACCCAAGCTAAGTCAACCACATTCCCTGTGCCTGGAATTTGACATTAGTGTCACAAGAATAAAAAATGAGTTGGAACAGATGTCTTACCAATGTCGAAACCTTAAGACACTGTGAATTAGTTCTCAGAACATTAGCCCAGAGTGTGATGATACAAGCGATGAGTGAGTTACCACCATTGTCGTCCCCTTGCCGTCATTGTGAGGGTGCGTGTCCCTAGCAGCAGGATGGCACAGGCGCTGGCCCTCCTGGACAAGGCGCTTGAGTTGTCTGGTTTCTCTGTGCGTCATTTTTTCATCTGTAAAGTGAGAATTAAATTCATTTAACTTCTTCCAAAATTTTGGTGAAGAGAGATGATCATAAGAGCTTTCAAGCAAATAAAGTGTCTCTTAGGGTGTGCTCTGGGTTAGGTGTGGAGGGTTTGAGGTACCATCAACCCTAGGATCTAAGTCCAGTTCAGAAGCTGGGTGACACTGGGCAGAGCACTTGCCCTCTCTGGCTTTTAACTAAACTGAGACCAAGTTAGACACAGCTCTTTCTCTCTTGCTCGCTCTCTCTCTCTTTTTTACCACTTTCATCATTTTCTAAGCTATTTTCATGCCCCCCAACCTTGCCTGGGACATACCCCCTCCCACTTCTATGAATACATGCCAACATATCTCTAGCCTAGACCATGCTGGCCTTGTTGCCTAATCGTTTTTCTTTCCCAGCTCCCCACCTGCTGGGAAATTGCCCTGCTGCTCACTCCCAGATCTCCCTGTACTGAGCTTCTGGCAGAGCACTCTCTTGGAAGCATGCTTACCCACCCCCACCAGTAGGCCAAACACCCTACCCGGGCAAAGGCTGTGGCCCTGTTGCTCAGGACCATCTCCCTGTGCCTAGGACAGGGCCAGGAACATAGAAGATGCTCGTTACCTACTTACTGTTTGAATGAATACACCAAATCTACTTCAGTCATTTCAGGAAACCCACAGAATTAATGACCTAATGCCACATCAACAAATTACCCCAAAACTTGCTGGTTTAAAACAACAATGATCATTTCTCATCTCTCAATTTCCATAGCGGAGAAATTCAGACAGGGCACAGCAAGGCTGGCTATCTTTGCTCCATTTCTAGGATCTTGTTCACCACCTAACTGGTGATTGTGCTAGCTGGGGAGGTCGGAACACTTTAACACGGCTCTCCATGTGACTTGGGCATCCTCCCAACATGGTGGCTGGGTTACAAGGTGGGTGTCCTGAAAGTAAGACACCCAGCCTCAGGTGGGTGTCCTTTCTATGACCTCGGCTTAAGAATTACATATGTCAGTTCCACCACATTCTATTCTTTGGAAACCAGTCACTAAGTCCCACCTACAATCAAAATGTGGGGGGGAGCCGAAGTGGGGGGTGTTCTACACAGTCAGCAAGCACAGGAGGCAAAGTGCAGGGTAAAAGCTAAGTGTCTAAAAAAGACTTCAAGTCAAATTCTAGCTCTACCTCTGCTCAGCTGTGTGAACTTGGGGAAATGGCGTCATTTCTCCATCTATACAATGAGTAGTTTGCAGTTGTTGGTCCCTGGTGGCTTTTACAAGCTTGGAGTCTTCTTGGCTCAGTAAGCTTGGGAGGGGCCCCACTTAATTAACTTTCTTCATATCCTGTAACCCTACCCATCACTGATCACCCTTGCAGGCAGCCAGAGCTTGCTCCTGGACTTCCAGCAACTAAGAAGTTCAGACACCAGGGATAGTTTTAAGGAACAGATAGACAGGGGAACCACTAAGGACTTCGGCTTCTCCAAAGTCTTCTGTCCCTGTCCAGGTGTGCAAATGGCTCCTCAGAGACAGGAAAGTTGAGAAATGAGGCAATCACCTGAAGGATCCCAACCTGTCACCCAGGCCCAGGAATCTGCATTTTATCCCTCTACACTTCCCCCCTCATCAGTCACACTAACTCCTGCTGGGAAAGAGAGGAGTCTACCCGACCCCCATGCTCCCTACGTGTCTCATTTTATGAAAGGTGTTCCCTGCCCCTGCCTTTCTGGCTATTGCTCTGCGGAAGCCTGGAGGGGAGCGTGCTTGGGTCTCTGCAGTCACAGAGCCCCAAATCAGCTGTACTTCACCACCTTCTGGGTCAACTGACCCGCATCAACCCCCCACCCTACCCCCACTCCTGCAGGTCGTGGGTGGCAGCACCCCTCCTCCCTGGACGCAGGTGCTGGAGGCCTAGAAGGAGACCCAAGCAGGCAGCTAGGGATGAACCCTGAGCACCCCACTCCCTCGGGTGTAGGTCATGGGGTGGAACAGGGTGACAGAATTTTCACTTTAGCGACAGCGGCCCTAGTTCCCAGACGCCCAGACGGGGCTCCAGGAGGGCCCAGTGCTCACCCAGGGCGCCGCCTTCGCTGATGGGGGGGACCCGAGGCCCAAGAGGGAAGGGCTGGGCTGGACGCCCCGCAGGTAAACAGACGCGGGGCTCCCTCTGGAACCCTGGACCTGGGGCCAAGCTCTGTTTCTACCCCCCAGGGCCCCTGCAAGGCACAACAGCTAGAAAATGCCGACCCGGGCGCCGGGAACCTCCGCGAAGTGGCCCTTGGCTCGTCGGGAGCGTCCCCGCAGCCGCACGCGCTCGGCGCGCCGGCGGGAGGCCGGGAGGGGCGCGCGCTCCAGGCGCCCCGGAGACACCCGGGGCGGGGCGCGCGGCCGCGGCGCGGGGCCCGGCGGGGCCGCGCTGGCCCTTTAAGGGGGGCGGGGCGCATGCGCGGCGCGGCCGGAGCGAGCGGGGCGCAGCCGGGCGGGGGCTCCGCGGGAGGCGGCCGGGCCCGGGGGCCGCGGGGTGCGGCGGCCGGAGCTTCGCGGAGCGGCGCGAGCGCGATCGGCGCGGTCTGGGGACGGGCGCAGCCGCGCGCGGGCTCCGTCCTCGCCCGCAGCCTCCCCGCGCCCGGCGCCCCCGCCCAGCGCCGCCTGCACCCCGGGGCGCGGAGCCGGCGGGACACCCGCCGAGCATCTCCGCCCGCCCGGCCGCGCCGCCGCCCATGCTGCAGCCGGCCCGGAGCGGCGACCCCGCGGCCGCAGCCCGCCACCCGCTGACCTCGGCCGGGGCCCCCGCGAGCCCGGGGGCGGCGTCCGCGCCCTGCGATGGCCCGGCCGGCGCTGCGCCGCGCGGGGTGCGCCTGGTCCGCGCGCTGAGACCCGCGGGGCCGGGGCTCGCCCCGCCGCGCCCTGCCCCCCACGGGGGCTCCGCGGCAGCTCTCCGGGGACAGGGGACCGAGACAAAGCCCACTTTGTGCGGGAGCCGGCTGCGGCCGTGGGATGTGCGCGTCGCCGCGCGCCCTCCCCGCGCCCCGCCAGCTGGGAATCTTGGCTCCCGGACTCGTCGCGCTGGAGAAATCGCTGCCCCTCTGCGCCCTCGGTTCTGGGGGGGCCCTGCTTGGAGCTGACGCGGCCTGGAGTCACCCCAGTGTCCACCCCACCCCTTCCTGATCGCGCGCAGGTGTGAGCGTGAGAGTATTTTGTAGAGGAATTTGTTTGGGTTTTTGTTTTCCAAAACTGGGGGCTCTGGGGCGCCCAGTCGGCGTGGGTACTCGTGCCTTGACCCCTTCTGCGCCCCGGGGCCTGAGCCGTCTGGCCTCAGTTTCCCTCCGACTTGGCTCCTCTGCCAGCCCAGACTGCTGCCCAGCATTGTTCTCTCATCAAGCCGGGGTGCTTTGTGAAGGCTGCCAAGTTGGGGTGTGTTCTTTTTCAAACTGAACTAGGCCTCTAAGGCTGACCCTGGACCACTCGCCCCTCCTGTCCCCCACTTCTCGGTGATGCACTGATTCCCCCCGCCCCCCCACCCCATCGTGTAGTATTTTATTGTGCAGGAGCCACGCCCTGGTTTCTTAAAGGCGCCTGGCACTCGGTCTGGCCATGTGTTACCTCTGCAGCTGGTGTGGAGGAGGCCTTCTGTGAGCTACCTATTTTTTTCCCCCTGCCTCCTAACACATCCTCCTACCCCCACCAAGGATTTGGGGATGCCAGGAGGGAAGAAAGTGGTCGGGGGTGGCGGCAGCAGTGCTGCCCCTATTGCAGCTGCCGCCCCCTCGGGGGTCAGGCGCCTGGAGACCAGTGAAGGGGCATCGGCACAGAGAGATGATGAGCCAGAGGAGGAAGGCGAAGAGGACCTGCGAGATGGAGGCGTCCCCTTCTTTGTCAACCGGGGTGGGCTGCCTGTGGATGAGGCCACCTGGGAAAGGATGTGGAAGCACGTGGCCAAGATCCATCCCCAAGGAGAGAAGGTGGCCCAGCGCATCCGCGGGGCCACGGACCTGCCCAAGGTGAGGGGTTGGGGTGGGGTTGGGGGAGGAAGGGGTAGGGGCTTGTTTAGGATTTTAATGCCTTGGGAGAGTAAAGCCACACTTTGGTGGAGTAGGGGCCACTGGAACGAAGGCTTCCTTTCATACAGACACTTTGTGCCTGTCCAAAAGAACTTTTTCTCAGCTGCCTTTGGGCTTGTTCTGAGAGGCCCACATGCTGTCTGCAAGAAGCCCTCCGCCAGCTCTCTTGACATGTCCATGCGTTGGAGGCAGGGCAGCAGATTGAGTACCAAGGGCAGCAATGTGTCTTGACCTCTTATATGCTAAGCCAGGGAAGTGTGGGCAGAGAGATGCTGCATAACTATGGGTACCAGACCTCAGATATTGAGAACACGTTGGCATGCCTTAGTTATCCCACGGGGTTCTCCGGTAGCCTTGTCAGGTCAGTGCGGTGTAGGGGCCCATTTTAAAGATGAGAAAATAGAAAACTCAAGTAGGAGTCCAGGTCCCACGCCAGTTAGTCACGGAGCTGGGACCTGCTGCCCGTTCTTCATGATTCAGGTCCCCTGCTGGGCATGGATTCGGGGCAGAAGAAGAGGGTCCATGGAGAGGGGGTGAGGTGAAATCACTTTTCTGTGCAGGACTGGGACCCTCCGGGGCCACTTGTGTCACTGGGAAGGCTGAGACTGGGTCTCATTCAGCTTTGTCTTTCCAAGGCCTCCTGTGTGCCTGGCACAAAACAGGCACTTGTTATGTTTGCGGAGCGACAGGGTGCTTGAGACTCTCTGTGCTGTGCGTGCTGCACGGAGAGACGGGTCTGTTGGTTTTTTCTTAAGCATTTTGGCTAACGCCAAGGAATCACTCTCCCAAACGCAGAGACTGAAATCCCCCAAGAAAAGCCCTGTGGACAGAGCTCAGAGGAAGGGGCCAGGGAGAGCAGCAGTTGTTGGGGATTAGATTTGGAGACAAATGACTGGTTTTGTGTTTTTTACCAAGTTACTGGTGGAGCCATCAGAAAGTGTCTTCTGGGACAAGGAGATTCCGAGGTTGAAAGCTGAGCAGCTGCTTAGTATTTCCAGGGCAAATAAAATGTGGATTTGATTCGGACTGGCTACATAATTGCCCTCGCTGCTAATTCAGAATTTATTTAGTTCACCCCCTATGTTGGACTTCGGTTCAATATTTTATTCTTACAACTAACACTGTGGTGAACACTCTAAAACACAGAATTGCGGGCCTGGTTCTGATTAATTCTTTGGAATATATTCCTAGAAGAGAAAATATTGCATCAAAGGGTGTGGACTTCGGTTTGCACTGCCTGTCTATCTGGATGACCTTAAGCAGGCCTCTTCCATCTGTTTGAGCCCCAGTTTTCTCACCTGTAAAATAGGCGTGATTGTGGTGAAGATGAAGGGGCTGTGTGTTAAAGCATGTGACAAACAGTAAAGCCTCAGACCAGTACTGGCGATTGCACGTTCATTACCTTTTTTTAAGGTCGTCGTCAGCATGGAGAGGTTTGGTTTCACTCAGAGCATTTGGACCAGGGAAGCCAGAACACAGCTCCTTCCCATGAGCGAGTTGGCATTTAGCAGATGGCTCTTCTGCCATCTTGCTTCTGTCCAAATCCGGCTACAGGAGAGTGTGAATGGCTCCCTGCAAAACTGTCGCCACTCTTGGAAACTAGGAAAAAAAAAAAAAAGCCAGTGAGCTCATTAGGGACTAGTCTATAATGTCATCTTGTCATCTTCATTCTTCACAGATAGGAAAGACTCTGGTGAAGGAGTGAAACTCTTGTTGGGGGTATGGCAGGAGGATGGCAGTGTGGAGGAACTTTGTGAGAGGATTGGAAAATTCAACATCTCCTGCCACCACAGGAAAAGTGTCGCAAATAGACAAACCACCCAAGTCTCTGTGGGGTTCCTCTTTCACCTTGACATGGGTTAGAAAGGAGCCCATGAGTATGAGACGACTAGCCTAATCTGGGAGGCTGGGCTGGGCCCCAGAGAGCCAGCAGCAGAGCAGAGGGGCCACTGAGCTGACCCCTCCCTGAGCAGCTGCGCCCTTGCAGCTGTACACGGAGATGCTCTGCAGGGAGAGAGGTTTTGTTGGGGTGGCACCATATTTTCAAAGACCACTTGAGCCAAAATTTAAAACTGGGAGATTTCACATAAAGATCCAGATTTTTGGCATCTTTTCAGAAAATGAGAAGCTGCTGGAACAGAGAATCTGATCCCTCGTGGCAGCTGGCACTGAAGCCCAGCAGTAGCTCCTCCTCCACCAGCCTGCACAGTCTGCACCCCCAGCCCGCCTGCCCCACTGATGTTCCCTGCCCAGCCCTGCAGGTGGTTGAGCCTGGGGGCTCTCCAGCACAGTGTGATAAAGAGCTCTGTGGTGAATGGAATCCAGCACGTGCAAAGCCTGACTCTCCCTTCACTACTTTGTGAAGAAAATAATGCAATCGCCTTGTGCCTCAGTTTCCTCGGCTGTAAAATGGGCATAATACCAATACCCACTTCAGAGGGGTGTTGGGAGGAATTAATGAAGTAATTGTGGAATTAATGAAGTAATAGAAGCAAGGAATGGGGGTGCAGCAGCCTACCCCATAGGCACTTGGGGGAAACATCATTTAAAAAGTTGATGCCAGTATGGTACAGGGCAGCTGTTTCTGAAAGGATCCCAGATCCAGGATGTTTCAAGCTGCCGCCACTTTTAAAAACCCAGTGCCCACTCACCCCACCCCTGCTGCCCAAGGTCTGTCTGTGGCTCAGTACACTGAGTTCCTGCAGAGTTTGAATTTGGACATTTCCAAAAAGACAGTATTGCCAGCGTGAGCTGTCTTTGGTGCACACTGGAGTGACCGTGACAGCAGCAAGAACTGAGCCTTTGCTGTGGGCCTTGAGCCTCTCTTACAGTCTGAAGTTGGTGCCCACTTTACAGATGAGGCATGGGAGGCACAACGAAGTCCAGGGGCTTGATGCCCCACGGTGAATAGCAGGCCTGGGATGTCACAGCGATGGCCTGGCTATGTATGCTAGCTGTCCTGCTTCTCGCCCACAAGCTGTGCCGCCTCCACGATGCCCCACTGAGCACATCCTCATAGGACTCAGGACTTCGGGGGCTTCCTGGAGCGAGGAGCGCCCTTGGCCTTGGTAGAGAGGAGGAGCTGTCGCTGCAGAGATCTGGGCAGCTCATAATGTTTACCCCCCAGTGTACCCCATTCAACCCCACCCCTCAACAGTGAGGAAGCATTTCCTGCCTCCTGGTTTGGAGGTGGGGGTTGGAGCCAACCCAGGCTCCCCATCCTAAAGTAGGGCTCATCATTCCATGCACAGAATCTTGTTTGTTTGTTTTGAGCAGATAAGTGTGCTTGTGAGTAGTCAAGAGAAAGGGATCCTGCTGTCTGCCAGGGTCCACGTGGGGGAACATGAATCACAGAACTGCTTCCACTAAGCTGCACTGGTGGGGGCCCTGCTGTGAACCCCAGGTCTTTTATGGCTTTTGGGGAACCATTTCCTTCTCCCAGAGCAGCCGTTCTTGGGTCCTCTGGGTGGTGGTGCCTATGTCCTTGTCGCCACCGCCCTGCCCTGGGTTTAGACCGACTCTCAGACAGCAGCTGTCTCCTTGTTGGGGATGTCTCAAGGGAGGGTGTCCTTGCAGTCGCCACCCAATGCTCCTCGAACCACTGGGTGTCCTCACTTGAGAAATGGGGGTGACCAGCCTGCCTCTCTGGGATTTTCCGCCTGAGGAGGCCAGCTCCATCTGATTATAATTTTGAAGTGATCCCTCTTTCCTGTCCCACCCGCACTCTCCTTGACAGGGGCAGGCAAGACAATGCCCTTGGAGAGTTCTGGAGCCCATCTGAATCAGGGTGGTCAGGCAGGGGGAGGGAGAGCCCCCAGACTGGGACTTCTGTCTCCCCGGTAACTGTAAATGGTGGCACTGGGATTTTTTTCGGAGAGGGGATGTGAAAGGGGAAATAACTTCCTCTAAACAGATGTGTCAGCTGCTTGGGACTGTCCAGACAGGAAGGAGGGGGAAGCTGGGGGGAGCCAGGGGAGGCAGAGGAGGAGATGGTGGGGTGAGGTTAGGGGGGTCATTCAGTTCTCTGGTACACACACCAGGCTTTCCTCCTGCTTTCCGGCACGTAGGAACCAGTGGGTGTCTGTCAAGAGGCTGACCTGTGCCCACCGCTGCCCACCATCAGGGGCCCCTCAGACAGGAGCCCGTGAGCTCTGGGATCATGTCCCTCTGTCAGAGCCCCGGCCACGCAGCCGCTGTGTTTAAAGGCTGGTCTGTAGCTTTCCACCCAGGGAGTGCCTCCTGCCCGGGTTCTCCTGCGTCACCCCGCCCTCCACTCGCACCCTGACCCGTGCGGGCTTCTAGACTGCGGTGGGGCAGGGGATGGGTCTGTGCGAGGAACCTGAGGCTGCCTCACAGCCCCTGTGCTGGCGGCCAAGGGAGAGCCCAGGTGGGCAGGCTTGTCCCTGGAATTGAGTTTCTTCTACCAAAGATGTCTGTCTGCGACCCCAGAGATCCTACTGGGTGCCCCTCTTGGCCTCCTCAGCCTCACTAATTATAGCCAAATTACCAGGACTTGGGCTCCCTAGTGTGGGCTGCCTGGTTGCTGGGGGCAGCCGCAGCCATCTTCATTTCCTTGCCTGACTCCCTCCCCTTTCTGGCCAGACCCTGGGCTGCCTGTCAGGGTCATGTGTGCTGCTTTCAAGTGTGGCGCTGGTGGGAAAGGGAGGGGACTCGTGTGCCTTCCTGAACCCCTCCAGACTGACTAGGCCGAGGCGAGTAGAGCCACAGCAAGACCTGTCCCCTAAAAAGCCCCCCTGGCCTGCTGCCACCAACTTATTCCTCGACAGCTCAGGTGAGAGTGGAAGGTTTGTCAGGGTGCCATGATACTGGGGTGCGTGACCCCCTCCTCATGGGAAGGCCTCCCCAGTTTTCATCCAGTACTTGAACCAGGGCAAACCACAAGCCCGAATGAACTTAGCCCCAGTATTGACATTCTTGTTAAGACTTAAGTTAACAAACATTTAATATTCAAAACAGTCAGTGCATCAACCTGTGTTAATATTATTAAAGCACCCGTTGCAACATCAACCTCAGTGCCAATTAGGAACATCAGGTGCCCGGAGGGAGGGGAATACGGTGGTGGGAGCCTCTGGAAGGAGGCTCAGAGGAAGAGGGAAGAGAGGAGCTCTCTGAGGAGTGTGGCTTCTCCAGGGGCTAATCCTGGCATCAGGCGGGCTGCATGCTGCAGGGAGAGCCTCTCAGAGTGACCAGAGCTCTTTGTCCATCCCCAGATCCCCATACCGAGTGTGCCTACGTTCCAACCCTCGACGCCTGTCCCCGAGCGCCTGGAAGCCGTGCAGCGCTACATCAGGGAGCTGCAGTATCCTCCCGCCCGGGGCTGCCCACCGGGTCTGTGACGCTCTGGTCCAAAGCCCACGTGGGCCTTGTTTCCAGCCAGGGCTGGAGAGGTGGGCAGAGCCGCCACCCCACCACTCTGGGACCATAGGCGCGCGCGTGTGCGTGCCCCTCGAGTCCCTCAGACGCAGCCCGATGCTTGGGCATCGGAGGGATTTTGTGCAGGGGATACCACACGCACTCCTGTGCTGTGGCCACCCACTCAGGGTGGCCCCTGAGCCACCCTCTGTGGGAAGGCCGAGTCTAAGCCACCTCTATTGCCCATCCATCCCCAGCAGAGGGAGAGTGGGGATGCTCCCTTGGGGGCATCCAAAGCTGGTTTGAAAGTGGTGGATGCTGGAGGAGATAACTTCTACATCTTGGAATGTTCCAGTTCTTTGCCTCTGTCTCCCCTGGCAGGAGGCAGTTGCCCAGTATAGACAGCTGGACTCCCCTGAGCTGCACTTTGCCCAGTGTCCTGCTCTGGGCCCCTGAGTCCCCTGTCCCCAAGCTGTGTGTTCTGGGTTCTCTCCCCCAGCCCTGTGGCTGCCCATGAGGCAGAGATGGAAGGCTCAGGCCTGGGCCCCGAGCAGAAGAGCCAGGCTGAAAACCATGTCCAGGCCCTCCTTTGCCAGTGGAAAGGGGCGGCTGGCTCACGGGCAGCACCCAGCTGTTCAGCACGCTGGACTCCCACCCCATTTCACGTTGCTCAGCTGGTTGGAAAGTGAAGGTTACAGAGAACTGTCCCCAGATCAGCCTCTTCCCCAGCTCTGGCTGGCCAAGGCTCCCTTCCTAGGAGGGGAGGACAAGGGAGCACAGGTAGAAACTGAGGGGCCAGAGGTGCAGGAGAAGCTCAGGTGCTGTGCCTCCTCCCCTGCTGGACAGCTCTCTTGGGTCTGGAGCAGCTTCCAGGGTGCCTTGTGGGAAATGCATTGTGGGGTCTTCCCCCAGCCTGCACCCCAGGAGTGCTGGACCCCCGGGGTCGGGGGGGTGGGGGCACAGGGACACACCTTTTGCAAACCAAACCAGGAAGACCTTAACTGCCGCTCACAGGTACAATCACACAGGGACACAGTTCTTTGAAATTAAGAAGAGCAGACCTCTGACAGGGTAAGTATGGGGTGCGCCCTGTCCCTCTGCACTAAGTCTAACTGTTCGCCCTACCGTAGGAGTCTTTGCGTGGAAGCTTATAAGGCAGACAGGGTCTCCCCAGGGAAGCCCACCAGCAAGGGCGCTAAGGATGTCAGAGGACACTGTGAGTTCGATCAACAACCAGGTCCCCTGATGGAAAAGAACCCCTGTCACCCATGCTGAGCTAGGAAGGTGACAGGCAGCCCCCCAGCTTGCCTTGGTGCTGGTGTTGGGTGGTGCCAGGTAGATGGTCTGTGTATGTGCCTCCAGTCTTTTTTCTTTTTTAATGATAGTTGGGCCCAGCAGGTGAGAGTTCCACCACCCAAGGGTTTGGTGAACCTGAAAGATGCCCTGAGAGTAGGGGAGAGTGAACCCTAAATGCCATGGCTGGGTCTAGAGGCTCAGCATAAAACCACCTATAGTCTTAAAACCCCGTATTTTACACATCACTGTGAATTGTACATCCTGCCCCGCATGTAATCTGTGTTTACGCTCCTCTGAAAAATGTTGTAATGGTTTATTAGCTAAAAAGCTCCTCCCCCTCGAGGAATCCAAGGTCTCTAACCCCAAAGCTTTGCTCTTGTTGTCCTGTGGCTGCTGTGTGCTGAGATCTAGCTTTGGCTCCACTGGGATGGAAGAGTTTGGTGCCCTCCTGGGCAAGGCCATTGGCCAGGCTATAGGCTCAGGCAGAGTCAGTGTTAAGTGAGGAGGGAGGAACTTGGCTTCAAGGACAGACTGTCTTAAAGTGGCCTGAATTCCAATTTCAGGAACAGGCCAAGGAGTCTATGGGCAGTGACTAACTGCCTGAGATCCCATGTCTGAGGCCCTGGGCTGCTGGCCAGCTGTGGGGGAGCATTTGCAATCAATTAAAAGCTCTTTGGAGAAGCCACAGTTGGGTCAGGGGTGTCCACTGTGCTCTGGAAGGGATGAGAGATCAATGCCGAGGTCCCAGCATCCTTGGCATGCTTCCTCTGGTGGCACCAGCATGGCGGGAGGCGCCAGCCCAGTGGTTGTCAAAGACCTGCCCGTGTCTCTTGGTTCCTGCCCCCTCCCCCAGAGGTCTTTGGAGTAGAGCCTGGGGGGAGGAAGTGGAAGAAGGGAAGAGGAAGGGGCCTTCTTCCTTAACTTCAGTACCTGCTTCTTCTCCCACCTCCCTTAAACTCTCACTGGGGTGTCCCACCCACCACCCCCCATCTCCCCACCCACCACCCATCCCCCACCCCCCACAGGCCCTGGCCCTGCACTGAAGCAGCTTGGAAGGGGGTGGGGAAGCCTCTGTCCTAGCCTTTCTAGTCTACCCTCCCCCACGCCCCTGCTGGAGTCTCTTTCCTCACTGCTCTTCCTCCCCTCCCCCAGGCTGATGGACCTGGCCAAGGAAATGACCAAAGAGGCTCTGCCCATCAAATGCCTGGAAGCCGTGATCCTGGGGATGTATCCTTCCTGGCCTTGGGTGCAGCAGAGGAGGCCCTCTGGGCCCAGCTTCCTCCTCTGGAAGGGGAGGATTGAATAAGCTCCAGGGCCCTCCCAGCTCCCTCTCCTAGATTCATGAATTTGGCCCCAAAGTGAAGGCACTTGGGGAGCTCAGTCCTACCCCCCAACTCAGTTGCTAGCTTCCTGGGCAGCTCTTTTGAGTCTCGAGGACACTGTGACCCTGTTCTCTGAACCCTAAATCAGGACACATTGTCTCACAAAGGCTGTTGTGCCACTTCCAGAACCAGAGTCTGGGAGAAGCAGGTTGAATGCCTGAATGTCAGCATTTCCAGGACATGCTGATTTGTGGGGAGATGAGGGATGGGATGAGACAGAACTCAGAACTGCCTTAAAAAAAAAAAAGTAAACCATTTCTCTCAGTCACCTCCACCCAAAAGGCAAAGCTGAGGCCCAGGGTACTGCGGAGCCACCAGGGTAGCCAGGCCACATGGACAGGCCCAGTCAGAGTGGGAGGTAAAGCAGGTGTCTGCGGCCGCTGAGGGCTGTATCTCCCAGGTGGGCGACTCTCTGCCCAGTGGAGGGGCCGCCCTGTCCTCCTCTGGCTGGCCCCGAGCCTTCTCCTGGCGTTTCCTTAGCTGGAGTGGCATGGCCAGTTACCTCACCAACAGCATGCCCACCCTGGAACGCTTCCCCATCAGCTTCAAGACCCACTTCTCAGGGAACTACTTCCGCCACATTGTGCTGGGGGTGAACTTTGGGGGCCGCTACGGGGCCTTGGGCATGAGCCGGCGCGAGGACCTGATGTACAAGCCGCCCGCCTTCCGCACGCTCAGCGAGCTGGTGCTGGACTACGAGGCCGCCTACAGCCGCTGCTGGCACGTGCTGAAGAAGGTGAAGCTGGGCCAGTGCGTGTCCCACGACCCGCACAGCGTGGAGCAGATCGAGTGGAAGCACTCCGTGCTGGACGTGGACAGGCTGGGCCGCGAGGACTTCCGCAAGGAGCTGGAGCGACATGCCCGGGACATGCGGCTCAAGGTCAGTCTGGGCACGGGCCCTGGCCGCAGGGGTCCACACACGGCCCGCGGTGGGCCACATGTGGACATGAAAGAACTGCCTCTTCCTAGAGGGTCATGTTGCAAGAACTGACCCACCCCTCCCTCCTCGGCACCCCAGCCCAGCAGAGGAGGCGCGGGGATCAAGGAAGGTCCTTGTGGGGCCTGGGCTTTGCTTGTGGTCACTGTTACTGAGACAGCGACCTCAGGTGGGCAGACCAAGGCCCCAGAAGAAGGAAGGTCTCTGGGTTTGGGTTGTGGGCAGGCCTTGGAGCAGGGCTGGGGTGCAGCACTGGCAGTGGAGGGGACTTGTCGGTAAAGACGCACCAGTGGGAAATCAGCCTGTCTGAGGCAAGGGTGGAGTGGGGTGGCAACAGGGGCCTTCACTTCTGTGTATCCTGACTCTTGACTCCCGAATGCCCCCCCTTACAGTAAAGGGCCATGAATCTTAGGGGAGGGCCAGGGCCATTAGACCCAGAGCAGGGGCTGAGTCACTGAGTTTGCCCCTGAACCTTACAGTGGGCAGAATCTTAGCCTCTCCCGGGGACCTCCTAGGGGAGAATGAGTCTCCCCTCCGGGTAAGGCAGGGTGCTCAGCTCCCCCCCACAGTGTTCAGCCATGGCTGCACTGTGAATCCGCCCCTCCAGCAGCCTGGAGCTTGGCACTTTCATGCCTGCTGTTGCTCCCCACAGCCTGGTAGAGGCTCTGCTCTCCAGGTAGGAAGCCCTGAAGGCGCACACAGTGTGGGGAGCCCAGACTTGCTCAGAGGCAGTGAGATGGTACAGGAGCTCAGTCTGGCATGTCACAGGTGCCAGGAGAGCCCAGCGGGGCATGTAAGAACTCGGCTGCCCTGCCCCACCAGCCCCTTGGCCAAGACCTTGTGGGGTGACAGCCCCTTCCTGGGAGCAGAAGCAGATTACAGCTGACCTTGCTGCTCTCGGGGCTGCCTCCCCCAGCTCCCATGCTGGTCCACCTCTGCGGAGGGCAGCCCTCAGGGTGGCCCAGTGCCCCGGCTCCTGCTGTTGGAGTCTCATCCTGTCTTCAAGGGAACATGTTGGATCTTGAGTTGGAGCTAGTGGTTACCTAGTCTTTAGCACTGTGATTCCCAGTCTGTGCACTGCTGAGGACGCCCCGTGTTATTTGCTGCTCTCCAGCACCCCAGTGTTGCCCATGTTTTGAAAATTCAGGTCAAGCTGACCACACCTTATAAAAGATGATTCCATTGCTTTTCCCATATTTTCTTAATCAGAGATAGAACTACATGTCTGAGCTTCTGACTGGCTCAAGGTAACCAGAATCACCCATCACCTGCTGGCATCCCGGCCTGAGCTCAGACACGGCTGCTTCCCCGGGTGGCGCTTGGCATTAGAGTAAAAGGCCCTTTTCTTGAGAGCACCCTACGGTATCACAAAAACTCTGGCTTCTCCCATGTCCACAGTATTTCAGGGGCTGCAGAAAACTGGGCACTTCTGCTGAGGAATCCCTACCCTGGCAGTTTTAGTGCCCGGAAGGCAGGTTTGGAAACAGGGCATAACTTTGCTTGAGGCTTCCTGGACCCTTCCCCGGGCAGCCTCACGGCCTGTGGTGCCTTCAGGGCACGGTGGGCTCTGGGGCAGCCCGGGAGTGAGTCTTCATTTCTTTCTTACCAACAAGATTGGCAAAGGGACCGGCCCGCCTTCCCCCACCAAGGACCGGAAGAAGGACGTTTCCTCCCCACAGAGGGGCCAGTCGAGCCCCCACCGCAGGAACAGCCGCAGCGAAAGGCGGTGAGGGATAGGGTCACGCATGGGGGACCAGAAGGTTTTTTCCTTTGCCCTCATTTTCCAGATCCTGCTTATTCTTCACCCTGTTCTCACACCCACCCTTCTCTTCTGCCCCCACCCCCACAACCCACCCTGGAGGTGACTTGGGGGGTGGGTTTGTGTGCTGACAGGACTGGCCTGCGTTGCCCGTGCGGGGTCCTGGTGGCCAGCAAGGGGGCCTATGCACAGGTCTGAGTACAGTGGCAGGACGGGCCCTGTGACTGTGGGGGGCAGACAGGGGAGCCCTGGAGACAGCAGGTTCTCTAGAATGTCCTGGGTTGGAACATGCCCATCAGAAGGCAGCTGCTGTGAACCTAACTTTTGCCCCCGTGAGTCTGTGATTTTTGCTCTATCTAAATGGCAGAAACTCCCCATTAAAACACCAGGCCGCCTCCTCCTCCTCTGATTTGTCACCTACCTGTCAGTTTGGCTCTGTCTTAATATCCTGTCGTTCAGGAAGCCGCCTCTCTGATGGGAGTAAGGGCTCGAAGATATCCAGCATCATTCACTCAGACCCAGGTGGCTTGTGTAGGCAAGAGATTCCTCTGGAAGAGACTCACAGGTTAACCTATTACCTTTGACCAAGTTAGCAGACCCATAATCAAGAGCAAGTCTGTAAGAGACACGCTCAGGGGAAGACCGGCTGGTTGGGGTTTTCAGAAACTTCCCTACTGTTCTACTCTACTGAATACTCTGCCTTTGCATGTGGGGCACCTTAGAGAATGGGGCAGGGTCCCCAGGGATAGCAAGAGCCACTCCCTGGCCACTCACCCTTCTCTCTCCTCTGCTCTCTCCTCCTTCCAGGCCTTCGGGTGAGAAGAAACCTGCAGACCCCAAAGCCATGCCAGACCTCAATGGATACCAGATCCGGGTGTGAGGCGGGGACAGCTCCCCAGGCCTGCCACTTCTGGGGGCCGTGATCCACTGCCAGATTCAGACGTGCCCCCTTGTGGGGAGGAAGGGGCTGGTGATGGGGCAGGGTGAGGGGTAAAGGGAAGAGTGTGTCCCAGCTCAGCCACCCAAGCTGCTGCCCCTCCCACCGAGCCACACCCCTCACTTTGGGCGGAAAGGCAGTATTTTATTTGGAGTTCTAAAACTCAACAACTGAAGTTTAAGTTATTTGGGAAGAAATGAAAACTAATGGCTCTCCCAATGGCTGAAAGGCCAGTGCAGAGGAGACCCAAGTGCCACAGGGCTGGTATAGAGGGGTTGCTGGTTCTGCTGGTGCCCCTGGCATCTCTGGGATTTGGGCCTACCCTGTGGGAAACCTCCTGATCCCCTCAGGCCTGTGGCAGGCCTGGAGCTGGAGTAGGGGAGGGATGGAGGCTTCTGTTCTGCCTGCCTTGGCAGAATCTTGACCTCGGGAAAGGGAAGCAGGGTAGGGGTTGTCCTGGGAGGGCCTGTGTAGCCCTATCGGGATCTTGGCACAAGTTCCTCCCTCCAGAGTGCATGTCCAGGGTCTAGGAGAGGACGCAGGCCCTAGCAGCCCCTTGGACACTGCCATGTGGGCAGATAGGCCTACGAGTGTGGCCCCTTGCAGGGTGAGCTGGAAGCAGCCCAGGAGCAACCCTCTGGGAAAGAGTTCCAGCTGGGTCTCCTGGCTCGGTCCAGCTCTGCTTACTGCTGAGGCCAGGGGCCTCCCTGCAGAAAAGCTGGTCTTTGCTAGGGGGTCAGCACATTTGGGAATAGAGCAGACCTGGTGGATGGCAGGAACCATGGTTGGCGAGATGGTGGGACACTCAGGCCTGGGTCTTTCCCCCAGCAGTGCCCAGGGGTGGGCCTGTTGCTCCCTGCTACTTCCTCTTCTCCCCCCACCTAGCTGCAGCTGAGGAATTGAAGACCAGACCCGGATGCTTGTTCCGGGACCCGTTTTCCCTCATTTAGCAGCCCAGCTAGTTTGGGGCCCCAATGATGATCAGATCTATCACATGTGGCAGCTTGTCAGAGAAGCACCTAAACAGCTGGAGTGGTCCACAGCCTGCCTGGCAGGGAAGTGAGGGGCTGCAGAGAGAGGTTGGTAGGGCTGGGGGGAAAGTTCTGGAGGCTCAAGCAAGAAGGAGTTGTAAGGCAGTGTGGCCACTGAGGAGCAGCAGAGCCCAAAATTGGGGGGTGTAAGTGAGGAAGGGATGTGGGGGAGAGTTTAGAATCAGGCTGCCTAGGGAGTAGTGAGCTCCCTGCCGCTGAGGTAGTCAAGCAAAGATTAGATGGTACCTTGTCAGAAGTGATAGAGAGGATTCAGGTGTGGAAGGGTAGCTGGATGAGATGATCCTTAAGGCTTCTTTTCACGGAGAGGCTATGATTCAGCCTGAGGCAGCTGTGAATAAGGTTGCAGAGGGGCTGGGTGCCTGGAAGAGGGAAGTTCAGAACAATGAATTTTAACTAAATGCCTACACAGCAGACAGGTAAGTAGAAGAAGGGTTGCAGGGCTGGGTGTGGGCTGTGGTAAACTAAAGAGTGCATGCTCCATTAGAGGGGACTCTGCTGCTCAGCTGTGCTCACAGTGCAGGCCCTGCATTGCCAGATTGTCTGATTATTATCAGAGACCAGAACTCTGAATTTTTATGTGAGGCATCCTGATTTTCAGACATTAGCAGCAATCAGTTCAGAGAATTTAAAAACCCACTACAGGTGAAAAAAGAATGCTAGTCTACCGTCTTGGAAGTAGAGCCTGTGCTGGGAAGAGATTTGCAGAGAAGTCTTGAGATGGAAAGTGTGAAAGTTCCAGGCTTCCCAGAGCAGGCTGGACCAGGCAGGGTCCTCATTGCTGCAGCCCTTCCCAAATGGCAGCTGCCCTGCTCATCCTCATCACTCCCCTTACACACAAGCGATGCCCTGTGGTTGCTGTGCAGTTCTCAGCCTTCCAGGGCGATGGATGGTGCCTGGGAAGCTAAGAAAGTGGGAGGAAGGAAGGGACACAGGGTGCCTTTGCTGATGCCAGTGCCCATCAGGGAAGGCATCAGGGACTGGCAGCTCTTCAAACCAGCAGCGAGTCAGCTGGTCAGTCCCTTGCCTCCCTAGGTTCCTCAGTGATCCTGGGGAGAAACCTAAGCTCCCCCCCCACAGCCTGCCCCCTGGCCAGGCCAATCTGAGGGGCAGTGACCCGTGACTCACCATTCCAGCCTTCAGGTAGTGAGGGTGGTGGTCCCTGTGTCCCCACATTCACCGGAGGCAGATGGCTCGCTTTGGGGAGTATGAGGCAGAAAAGGAGGCTTTGAGTCTGGATGTGAGTTCCTCATGAAGGCTGCAGGGGTGTTCCCTAGGCACCCCTGTGCATGGCAGGACTCGAAGGAAAGAGACAAGAGGCATTGGGCAGGGAGCTGGGCAGGAAGATACAGGGAAGCTGCTCCTGCTGCGGGAGCTCTGGAAGGAGGCTCCCAGATACAGGTCCCCCAACCCCACCCCTCTGAGGAGACAGAAGGAAGCCCCAAACCCTACTGCTGCCTGTGAGGTCGGGAGCTGATTACCCCAAACTGATCACCCCCTAGCACTCTTCCTTAGCTGAGACCTCGGGCCTGTGGAGACCACCACAGGGTACAGCGGTGCTTTTTAATTTATTTTTAACTTTTTCATATGTAGCAACCCCTCCTCCCTCCTGGCCGTGTTTACACAGGCTCTGCTCCCTGGGGCTGGCCTGGCTGCAGAGTTTCTGGGGAGGCAGAGGCAGGGACTTCGGGGCCTTAGTCACCATCCTCGCTATCACCTCATCTTCCTGTGAGGGACGGGGGCTGGCTCCCTGACTCGGGGCTGCCTTCTAGCATTCAGCTTGGGTTCCTCAGCCCCCAGAGGTGGGGGCTGCTGGCTGTGGCAGGGTCCAGGTGAGGTTAGAGAAAGCTGTTCCATGATCGCGGGGTCTCCCCAAAGCCTGGCCCCTTGCGCAGGGTCAGAACACTGGGAAGCTGGGTCCAGAGCCTTCCCACCCCTCTGCCTGCCAGCCCTAGCCCTCCCGTGGTCTCTTCCCACCATTGGTTCCCCTGCCTGTCCTGCCCTGGGCATGGAGGCAGTGGGGGGCGCAGCAGCCTCAGCCCTGGGGTGCCATGATTCCTAGAGTCAGAGGAGCCGAGTCGGCCATGTCTGTCATCTCACACCTGACCCTTCCAGCTCAGACTTGACTTCCTCCACTGGGACAGGGTCTCACTATGGCTGGTCATGGGCTGGTGGGCTCCTAGTTGTACCTGGAACGTTTTCTGGCTTAGCTGCGACACTGTCCCCAGGCCCACCCTCTGGCCTCCAAGTGCGTGGAGGGGAGGGCTGGGCCCAGCGTACTCACTCAGTCGTGTGCTAGAGCTCACCTGTGTTAAGCCCCTTCTTCCCTGTTCCCATGAGAAACCTGTGTGAGGGGCAGGGAGCGGCCTCCGGAGGAGCCTGCACCAGGCCGGGCAGGCCTGTGCGGTGCTAGCCACAAGCCTGTCAGTATTGCCCCCCTCACCATCCTGGTTTCCCTTATTCGTCTGACAAGGGAGAAGCCTGGTGTGCATGGCCCGTGGAGCCCGTGATGGTGGACTGCCCCCGCCCCCCAAGCTCTGTACTAGACTGTTTGTTCTTCCTGCTCTTCTCGTAACAGTATTACCCTCCCCTTTCATGTTCACACTTGGTCTCATTCCTGTTCTCATTTTTCCCCTGAAATGAATAAAGTCTCCCCAGCTCTGGTTGTGTGGGCTGAGCAGAGTGGCATGTAAGCCTGCTTCCTTCGCCTAGGGCTGGGGCCTGAGCGTACACCACCCGCTACGGCCAGCCTGACCAGAAGTGGGGGTGCGGGTGGGGGTGGGGCAACCAGCCCCAGCAGTCAGAATGGAATTTCTGAGGTCCTAGTCTGTCCCCTATAGCCTGCTGAAGCCCCTCAGCTCTTGTTCCCCTAATCTGGGAGCAGCTCTTCCCTGCTGGCCGTAAGTGAGCCCTTCTCCCTCACACAGCCAGCTAGAGTCTGCTTCCAGGCTGCATTCCAAAACCTGCTCTCCTGTCCCAGTCCCCAGCTGCCCACTGGGACAGAGGAGAAAGGCCCAGTGTTCTCCTGGGAGATGGTTGTTTCAGGAAACCCTAGCAACCAGAGTCTGGAGTCCCTCCTCATCACAGTTGCCGGCCCAGAATCAGTGGTAGCTAAAGCTTCAGGAAACCCCTCTGCTCCACCAGCACCCGCTTTCGGCAGCACTGTCTGGCTGGACCTCTTCCTGTGCTTCAAAACAAGCCCGAACAGCTGCAGCCAAACTTGCACAGGTTTTCACCTTTAATTCTTCCTCCCTGCTGTGCTCTCCTGCCACTCAGCTTAAGAGGAAAACTCTGGATCCCAGTGAAGACCTAACTCGCATACAGTTTAGCACAGCAGGACTCCCTCATTCTTGGCCGCGGTGGTGGGGCTGGGGCAGGGAGGGGAGGATGGGCAGGGCAGCAGGGAAGAGGCAAGGCCGTCCTTTGAAGTCCATGAACATCTTGGAATATATACCATTAAATAGAGGCAGTTTTGTTTCTTACAGGCTCATTTAGACCCAGCTTAAACGATACTAAAAAAGGGTCTTTCAAGGGAACCAGGATTTGTGACTAACTCAGATTGTACACCTTTACACAAAGGCAGTGTTTTCCTTTACACAAAAAGCCCAACATACTAAGTGAAGGGCATTGTGGGCGGGTTTCCAGGAGATGGGCATGCGCAGCAACCCCTGGATGGCTCTCGTGGACATGAGGGCTGGGTGCGTGCTGGGGCCACAGTCTGTCAGGAGTTCAGCAGCTTTGCCACTTTCTTAGAGTTAACACAGAGGTGAATATCTGACTCCTGGGAGGATCAGCACCCAGCTTCCTTGGAGTGGGGGAGTACCTCACTTGTAGCTGCCCCATTCCCTCTGGCTCGCAGGTGTGTGGCCTGATTTTGGCACCTGACCCATTTGGGCTGGCCCTCTGCATACAGGTGGCCGTCTTAGAACCCTGAAGAAGAAGAGGGTGGAGCTCTGCCACCCTCCTCTGTCAGGTTCTGTCATCTTGGCCAATACTGTGTAGGGCAGTATTGGCAGGAAAGGGTGGTCCTGCCGAAGACCAGCTGACTGGCCCAGATCTGGGCTCCTGGCTACCCTATTTGCCTGTGGGGTGAGGGTTTCATGGCCACACCAGGACAGGATCTGGGAGAAAAAAACAGAGCCAGGTAGTTGCCTGACAGGTGGTGGAGACAGGCCACCCCCGTCACCTGAGTCCAACCCACAAGAGAATGCGCACTGTCCATCCCCAGCCAGAAAGGACTTGGTCGTGGGAAAGACAAACCTCCCAGATTTTAAGTGGAAAGACTCCACGGCTGTATGAGGCCTCAGGCCTTAGGGGTGCAGGGAGCGACTGGGAATGGGGCAGAAGGCAGACTTCTTTCAACACATGAAGTCCACATTAATACCACATCAGCTGTCCTGACGCAGGCGAGATCTGCGCCGAGCAGGCTCTCAGCTGCCCAGCGCCTACCTGAACAGTTTGCACATTCACGCACGCGGAGAGAGACAAGCAAGGTGGTGTGGTGGACCAGGGTGTGTCTGGAGTGTAGGACCGCTGCCCGGCTCTCTCCCCCTGGGATACACCAGAAGAGGTGGGCCCCTCCTCCTGGGAAAAGGTTGTCACATTGGAATGATGTAACCAATCAAAAACCAATCCTTTGGTTTCAAAGCCACACCAGGGCAAGAGCTGGAGAGAAGAACAAAACCCAGTGGTAGCCGGAGTGGTCCTTTCTCTTCCTGGTCTCCAAGCTTCAAGCTGCCTCACCTTCCCTTCCTGGGCAGCCCTGATGTGTCTGCTTGCCCCACGAGAACCTCTCTCTCCTCTGCTCCTGGAAAGGCCACGATCTGAGGAGTGTGGGGCAGCAAGAGATGAAACAAAGGAGATTCTCAGTCTCTCTTTGGACTTCTACTTGCTCAGCTGTAAAGCTGCATCTCAGCACCTCAGCTGCCCCCGCACAGTCTAGGCCTGCAGGAGCAGGAGCCTGGTCACTATAAGCCAAAGTGTTGTGCAATGTGACAGAACCGGGGCAACCCTCCAGGCCAGGGAAGGCGTCTCTGAGGATATGCCTCACAATTTAGCAGTGCTGGAATAATCCGGGTCCATAGGCCAATTGTCCCACATAGCTGGGAGAACTACCCACCTATGTCCTACCAATAATACTCCAGTATTCCTAGCATCCCTCGCTTGCTAAAGCCCAAACAACACATCTTCAGGTCCAAAAATTCCTCACAAGGAGAAAAGATGATTAAATTCCCACTTTACCAAGGCGGGGTTCACTTACCCGGAGTCACCAGTTGATCAGGCCAGGATGATAAGTGGTGTTCCTAGACCCTGGCTAAGATTTTCCTTCTATTGAATCCTAACCTGGGTGGTTCAACAAAAGCACCTGAGTCTCTTTAAATAACTCAGATCCTGAGGGACTAATCTGGAGCTTTGGAATCTGAGAATCTGCCCAGGTAAGGGAGCAGGCAACCCTGGCTCAGGGCCTCCCATGGGCATGTAGGCTTGGCAGAACCACTGCAGAGAAGGCTGGAGGAAGACACAAGTGCCAGCAGAGTGAGGCCTGTTTCCAGCAACAGATGGCCCACAGCTCAGCCCTGGCTCCAGAATGCAAAGGAGAGGATCAGAAATAGACGCTCAGCAAGAGGCATCTGCCACACGCATCATGCCTCATGTGGCTGCGTGGCTCGGCTCGGGAAACACACGTCTCGTCCCACTTCCGGCACAGACCCTCCTAAAATGTAGTGTGGATTGGGGGAGGCAGGGGGGACAGCAGATGGAATAAGAAAGAAAGCAGCTGAAAGAACCGTTCTCCTCTTGCATGGCAAGGATGGGAGCGGGAGCTGCACCCCAAAAAGTTGGGAAGCAGACTTTGCTCAAGTGCTTTGCCTCCCAGGCCTCCCAGCAGTTACCAGCAAAAGTTTGCAATACATTTTTCTGGCCTGGATTCAGGACTTGAGACCCCACCCCAGGATCCAAAGTTCCCCAGTCTCTTCCTTTCGGCCCACCTCATTCTCCAGGCCCTCCCTCATCAGGCCCCTGAGGATCCTAATAAAATGACCAAGAGTGGGGGGAAAAGGCAAACCTTTATTTGGAAAAGAGAGTTTCTGTGAGCATTTAAAACCCCATTTCACTTCCAAAACAAAAATAAATAAGAAAACAGGAAAAGATTGCCTATCACGCTCCTGCCCTCTGTCATCTTCAGCCGTTTTTAAATTGCATTTCATAGCAGAAGAGAACAGCAATGGACCATTGTCCTGTGAACCACCCGGACAGTGTCTTGAGACCATCTCAGGAGGGGCTCAAGGAAAGACAGAGAGTCAAGGGTGGGCTGTGGACAGATGGGCCTGGGGCTCAGACAGGCACATGCCCAGTACCCAGTAAATCATGTTTTAAAAAACAAAAAACAAAAACCTATGCAGAGATAAATTCCCCCGAACCTAGGCATGGAAAGCTTGTAACCATGAACGCAGCATCGAAATTCAAGCTGGGTCTTTGGCTTTCAAAAAAAGGAAAGAGCACTAACCTCTGGTTAACTGTCCTTAACTGCAGCCTCTCGGCCACTGCCTTCAGTTCCACTCTGGGGGCCAGGTGGGGCAAAGCCAGCATGTCTGCAAGGGTCAGCAGCTACCTGAGTTAAGGGAGATGTGGTGGGGAGCTGGTCCTGGAACATCCCAGGCCGCCTCCCAGTAATGAGAGATTAAGGCATGCAGGTGACACCTGTGAGCCAGGGACTCCCGTGGTTTGGTGGGGTGCCCCTCCTGTAGGAGAGGGTCTGCAGAGGCAATGAGCAGCCAAGGTCTTGTTGGCCAGAGCAAATCCGCAAGCTCAGCCAGGCCACCTCAAGTTCTCGGACCAGTTCTGCACAGGGCCACCCCTGCTGAGAATCAGGTTTGGCTTGAGCCAAGTGGCAGGCTTTCCTAGGGGAAAAACAATGGGAGGAAGTGGGGGAAGCAGCGAAAAGGGAAAATTTGTGGGAAGAGGCACAGAAAATTGCTGCTTAGGTGTACAGAGGAAAAACAAGTCCCTGAGGTCTTGAGTCCCAGCTGAAGCAGCTGAAGAGCCCACCTACTCTCTTCCCTACTCCCCGGGACTCCTACCCTCACCCCAGTTTTGCGGGCTGCAGAATCCTGTGAGACAAGAACTTCCTGGAGGTTCTTTCTCCTCATCCTTGAAGAGATCAGAAACCTTACACCATGATCCCAGTCCACAAACTTTTGCCTCCCTAAGGGCAACCTGGGAAGAGGACATGACCTAGAGAAAACATGCCAGGTCTGCAGGGAACTCTGGACCGGAGACTCAGAGGTTACTGGGGCAGGTGGTGCTTCCCCAGGTCGGCTGCCCCAGACTGTGGGGCATTCATTCCACAGCCCAGATGGGAATATGCCCTGGCTGGCAAGATGAATGCCTCAGGAAACATAGGATAAAAGGAGAGAAGGGCTGCCCCCCTGCTGCTGCCTGGCAACACACAGCTGCCAGGTCACGCTCTTGGCCTGCCTTTTGGCTGACAGCCCCAGTGTGGAAGTGGGCTGTTCAGACGCAGGCCTGGCTATCCGGAGCGGTCCTGCCCTGACAGGATCCATGCACGCCACACACATGTGTGTGCCTGGAAAGGGGGGTTGGACCCAGAGGTACAAAAGGCAAGAAGAAGATTGGGTCAGAATGTACCACCAAGAAACGGCCTGAAAGCAAATAACCAATGAGATCAATAGCTCCCGCAACCCTGGTAATTAAAAATCAAGGGGGAGCACTGGATACATGGAAGGAAGGGGGAACCCCCTCGTTCAGCCTCTCCCAAGACC